ACATGAATTGATATCGAATGAATTTTCTGAAATAGGCTTCTATAACATACTCGCGATTGAAACTGCAACCAATGATTTGTCATGACGTGTTCCTAAACTTGCCACAATTTAATATACAATTAGTTACGAAATCGATGGAAGGATTCGATTAGGATAAAAAGACTGAATGCATAATTTCAAACAATGACATTAAAGTCAATAAAAACAGCTATGTTAAAAATGACATGGAACGGTATTTGGATATCATGCGTACGAAACAGTACTTGATGGATGGGAAAAACTCAAAGAGCCCCTTGAAGGCTAGGGAATCGTTATCCAGATACGTGTTGATGCAACGTTAAGTAGATACACGTGACCGTACGCGAGACGGCGGAAAATAACGATTCGAAAACTGTAACGGACTGTTTCAAATGTGGTCTTTACCACCTGAAAATTGCCTCGCGCTTTTTCCACGCGCGACGCACTTAATAAAACATGCTCGGGCTCTCCTGCTCTTCGGGCTGACGCTCATCCTCCTCTGCAGCCCCCATCTCAGTTCCGCTCACACTGTTGCACACTGATCGCGCGGACTAACTACGCAAGCACACAAATAAACACAGGCTCGTACCGACGTTAACACGAATCTACGTTTACATGCCAGGGTAGTCTATTTTCCTTTCCCTTCCCTCTTCTTTTTCCTTGGTCACGCTTCAACACCTTTCCGCTGTCCTCCTCCTCCCGCTCTTTCGAGTTTTGCACCACATCGGAAACCGGTCTCTCTGTCTTCCTCTCTTTCTCCGATCTCCTTGCTTCCGTTCGCCTCTCGCTCGCCATGTTCCTCTGTGTACGTACACAAGGGTTGTCGCTTCTTCCTTGTTGCTCGTCCCGTTTCCCTTCCGCTCGCACGCCGGGGCAAGTCTCCTCGACCACCCTCACCGCGGTAGCATCGTCCAGAAGTTCTCAACTGCTCCAGCGACGGCAATAATCAAATAAATGTCTCTCCTGCTACTTGTCCGACACTTTTCGCTCTTCTCGCAACGCTCAGCTAATGCGGCACGCGTGCACGGCAGAACTTCAAAGTCTCGTGCACGCTGAGAATGTTTGGAGATCGGACAATTGGCTCAGATTTTATTTCCGCCTTCTCTGTCTCGTTTTCGACGTGGGGTTTGCAATTGCGCGTTTGTCACACTTCGGAGCAACCCCTTCGGGGTGACTCCTGCCGCGACGCGGTGGCTTAATCCGTCGGATAATTGAAATTCTCCTCGCGTAGAATCGTTCGGTGGATAATTCGGTTTACGACTGAATAGAGTTTGTTAGCAATTCTGTTTTAATTTCTACTGATGTCGTGGATAAGGTGTAGCGAACGTGTTTATAGTTTATAGCAAAGTCGTCTTCAGATTATTGTACTCCATTTTTCATTTCCTTAAACGTTTATTAAAATACTACAAAGTAATGATGATTCAAAGTGCAAAATGTAGGAAAATGTTGTTTTAATTAAGTCTATTAAAAATATTCAGTTGTCAATGTTACTTTTAACATTTCAGTTTATGCGTTTAGATTTAGTTTTAAATATTTAAGAAATGTTATTTAACCGACCTGCACATCCGTTTTACAAAATGTAAGCCTAACTTTTAATCAAGAAAATTGTCTCATATCTAATTTACACAGAGTCCTGTAAGTTAAAACAAAGTAAGTCCATCAGATCTGTAAAATATATCATACACACTCTATAAACACGCCAATAAAGGAATACAATTTGTCGTTCCGTCAAAAAATGGAAGTGCATCGCCGAGCTGTTAATCCAGACAAGAAGACAGCGAATGCGGACGTTCCCATTAGCCGTATCAACTTTATTCAATAAAATCGTTCTCCCTTTCGCTGTCACAACGCTGCACCGTGTACACGTGCATAACACTGCACACGCGAGTACGTGTGTTCTATGTATAGTAGAGATTCAGAGAAAGAAGAGAGCGGCGCTAGAGAACGTAGCTGACGCGACGCGGTACGACGACGTGTTCTCGGGCCGATGGGCGTGGACAAACGAGCGGAAAAATGGCAGGGTTTGGAAATGAGATTTGCTGGTAAACCGACAATTTATCGTAGGTATCTGCAAAAGCATCTCTTGACGTTCCTCTGACCAGAGTTATAATTAATACGCTCTCGTCACAGAGCGACCGACCAATATTCCGTCGCGCCCACACACCTCCACACGTGTACGAACGCGTACACACCCTATCGCGAATAGACACGTGAAAGAGAGAAAGGGGACGATCGGGAGAGAGGGAGAGGGAGAGCGAAAGAACAGGTGGACAGGCCGTTATATGTCGCGGGGAAGCGCAAGCGAGTGAGTGAGTGAATGCTTCTGCTCGCGCGGACTGGACCGTGTAACTGGTTGTTGATTAACTTTGAATGACTGATGCCGCAAAAACACATTAAAACTTGAATGAGTACCTACAGATGAAAATTTAGTCGCTAGGAATCAAGTGACCGCAGAGGCAAATGGCCTGGCGGCCGCATATACGCGCGGACGAAACCACCCTGCCCCCCTGTCCCTCTTCTTCCACGGAGTTTCCCTCGCCCGTATTCTCTCTTCGGCTCTCTCCATCAGGATCATCGAGCCACCGTTTTGGACAGAGGACTGTTCGAAATATAAGTACACCGAAAACACGCTATGCGATTGCCATATCCGGTAGGCTGAAACACTTCGCTTCGGTTAACCGTCCGAGTAACACAAGCATGACGAGTCGACGATTTTCAATCGTGATTCCTCAATCGATTTCCACGGTTCGATCAAATTTCCATCTACGCTTTTTCGAAAAACTTGTTGCAAAAGACTATGGAGTACCCTTAGAATAATAAAGAAATGAAATTTCTTGATAAATTAAAAAATGACAGGATGTTATGTTTGTTAAATGACTGCAATTAAATTTTGATGATTTCTTTCGTCAGTTTTCAAAATCAGTACCCACCTATTACGTCCTTATAATTGGCTGACTATTCTAGCAATAATTACTTGAATTGATTGTTCATCCTTTCCTGGACTCAATTTTTCAAATTGACAAGTCGTAGATTACAGTAGCGGTCGTTAAAATAAGTCGAGGACTGCCACATAAACTGTTTTCTTTAAAGTCCGTCTATCTTTTCAGGATCACCAATGTCGTAAGTTTCTCCAGAGTTCGTCAGGGAGATCTAACATTTCAGCAATCATTCACTACGGTTCACCGTTCTCCTAATTGGAGAAATTCACGTCAAACTGTTGCAGGAACTTACGCACGTTCCTCATCCAACGACACCGTTTCAACTTCCATCCTTGGAACAACAACGACGGAACCAAGACGCCAAATCAGGTGGAAGCTCGACCAATGCGAGGATCACAAAATTGTTTCGTACGACTCCTTGGATTGTCATAAAACAATTGACCAGAGAGATTACGGCGATAGGGAGCAGTCGTAAATACTTCAAGACCGACCGGGAATTACAAATCCAGTTCGACGAGCGATCGAAGATGGAATGGGAACGAGAAGGGGCATCCATCACGGTATGCGCAATAGTAAAAGAACAGGAGGGACAGTGGAGGAAAGATATCGATGCCCGGGAGCCATCGGACTATTCGTTTCTATAATAAAAATCATCAACCAGATCGTTGCTCACGCACCGACACCATCCGATCGTCCCTGGTCGACCAATCGGCTCCTGCCGTTGCGCCATTTAATGTATTCAAATGTAAGCGGTAGCAGTGTTTATGTCTTGACATTGCAAATTGTGCTAGCTAGGCCATAACTTATAGTAATTGCTGCGCACCGGAGTAATTATTTATACACGTGATACAACATATACATGTTCGTTTCTCTCGTCTCTCTATCTCTCTACTCTTTTCATCTTTCCTACTACTGCTATGTCCATCTTTCTGGGTAGGTAGTTCTGTAGTATCTATATCTCCGAATGCCATAATTATGAAGCGCGAATATCGAAGACGTGCCAGCCGTAATATTAATCTCGTCTCGACGCCGTGCGACCCACTGAATCGGCGACTTCGATGCCTCGCGCTACAGACAAGACGCAATCCAACCCGGCGCGCAAAGAAAAACGTTCTGCCAACGTGGCCACTCAATACCATAATTACTCGAATTACAAGTTTTCAAATTTTTACTCTTGTCACTATTATATAATTGTATTAAAATTGTTCATGAAAAAAGTTCAGTTAATCATATTTTCATAGTTCTGAGAAATTGAAATATCTTTATTAAAATTTATAAGATAAATCTGTATCATTATAGCCCATGGTTTCAGAATTCCAAATACTGAATTCCAAAATTCTTTATGTTCCAAAAGGAGGGTGGAGTCACCAACTTGTGGTGCCATCTGGAGCACCAGGAGCGAACCCGCATCCGTAAAAAAAATTCGCTTCAATCTTTTCGAAAATACACCCACCCTGCATCCATTCCGGGCCGCGCCACCTAATCGATATTCCTCGAGAAATTCTAGTTGGCCGAATTTGCAAAGCGTACGAGTTATTCGCATACGCGGTACCATACTTACTGGGGTTGATCGCGTCGACGAGTTTACAAGAAAATTACGGTGGTCCCGATTCGGTGCTATAAATCAGCTTCGAAATTAAGAATTTCAACGGGACTGGAAGACGAAGGCGGTAGCACGTCGTGCGAACGCTAACGGCATTCAACAAATTTCACGGTGTCTGTCGATAAATCAGTTTAAGCATTCAGTCGATGAGAAAGGGGGTGGTTTTGCGGTGTAACAGGTGGTTGAAATTCTCATTCGCCGCCGCGCCTTTTTACTCCTTTATTGGCAAAAAAGGAAAGAATAAGTTCCAGTTTATGAATCGGAGCGCGTTTAACGCTTCTTAAAAGGATAAAGCGGACCCGACGAGACGGCTTTTCCAACAAGGGAAATTGCGAGAGTCTTTCACGAGACGGGGATGTGTCGATGGGAATCGGCCGCGATTATTTTTCTTCTTTCTTTCATTTCCATTATACTAATGAAATTTATACACGGCACAGAGATTCCTCTGCTTGTGGTTATTTTTATTAATCTTTTCTCGTCCACACGAGATACAGTCCGTTGAAAGAAAATCACAAGTAAGTCCTTACATTATTCGTCTCTAGACGTATAAAAGTTATCACAAACTGGCAGTAATTAACTTAACTCGTAACGATAATTAATTGCGTCCAATAAAACATCAATCGCAAAAAGTCTTACAATAGGATAAAAATTAAATAAGACAGACGAATATTTACAAAAATATTCACGACGCGGATTTATCGAACAATGGTAGGTTAAAGCTAGAAAGTCTTCATATGCGAGGGAACAGAGTTGCGTATTCCTATCCTCGAACTTGTCCTTAATCTTACGACTATGTTAGTCATTTATCAATGAATTAAATTCGTAACGCTTATTTGTACTAATCAATCTTATCCATACTACTCACAGACCTTATTAATATTAAAGAAATAAAAAGACGAATACTATATGTAAATCACCAAGGCCTCCACATGTCGCCATTGGCACCAGAAGGACCAGCGACCGATACGAATTTGATGGGATTGGAATTAGAATTTCTATTAGTCGAGCACGCCGCTTTGCCCGACAAATCCTCGACGGGAACTGGCCGTTCTTCCCCGGATTTCACGGTACCGTTAGAAGAATTCATAGTCGAGCTAATAGGTTCCTGATACCTCGGTCTTTTATCAGAAATCGCTAGGAGACCATCGGAATTATGCCTCTTCATGAATTCTCTCCTCTGCACAAATGAACTGGCACGGTTGTAAGTTTTATCAGTAATCACTGAAAGGGGTTGCCTTAAATTTTGCGCGGCAATTCCGTTTTTATTTAACGACTCTGAAGAGTCAGCAAGTTCCTTCCTTGAATGGTTAATTGAATCTGACTTAGGTTCTATAAAAATAGCTACTGGAGACTTCCTATCGCTGCTTGAGCTGATTTGCGGTTTTTGCGTCTCTGGCGACGAAGTGAAAACCTTGAATGAGACTGGACCATGTTCAGTTATCTTGAACCCGTGTTGTTGATGATTAGGCGATTGAGGTTGAGGATAGTGTTCAGTATGGTGACTTTCTTCTCCGTAACTGGACGTAGAAGTTGACGGACTTAGCAGAGGACTCTGCGGCCTGTGAACGGAATTGAATGCCGATGAGTGTCCAATTTTAGAGCTCGATTCCGTGGCTGGTGGAAAGAAGGGAAAGTTTGCCGAGATATTGGCCGACTGTGGCACCAAAAGAGCCAGTTCTCCAGTAGGCAGTCTGCTAGGTATCAATTGAACGCCGTTCGGTATCTGTATCCTGGCACTACCATTATTATTCTCGTCGCCATTCTGAAAATCGCTCTGGAAACCGACCTTCACCTCCGGATAGAGGCGTTCCGGCATGTAGGGCACGTAGTGGCTGTAGAACGGCGCCATTTGCTGGAGATTGCTAACGCAATTGTTCAGATGTGATAGCAGTCGTTGCTTGACGACAGGATCGACGTTCTCGAGGTGGCTAACGTACCGCGATACTTCGCTAGCACATTCAGAAAATCCGGAACGGAATTTCGTTAGCACCGCCGGATCTGTAGCGACCGCTGCGCTCAAGTGCTGACGCTGTGACGCCTGTAAATGCTTCACCGTCATCTCGAGGATATCGGCCTTTTCAAGTTTCGAGTGCCGGGTCGGCTACAATAAAAAAGAAAAGAAATCGTTGATAAATCAAACATTTATTTTTAGACATACCTTTCTTTATCAATCTACTTTTTATGAGTAAGTCTACGGAAGTATTTTTTTCTCATACTATGAGACAAGGGTGTATGATTTGTAGGGTAAAAAATACACATCGGGTAGATTCGGTAATATAGGGAGCAGATGAACTGCAGTGGATGGAGGTAACCCTATTTTATCGACTAACAGGAACGAACTGACATAATGGAAAGGTCACTTTCAATATGTGCAGGGTCCAATAATCAGGATCGCTGCTCGAGGGTGTGTTTCATTAGTGAAGTTCGTGAGTACCACCGATCGCTCATTCAAGAAATCTGACGTCTCGGTAACGCCCAAGTAATTGACTTGAGGCGACCTGTTACTTTAATAACAGGCTAGCAGCCTGTTCGGTAGCCAGTACTAGTACAGGGCAATTTTGTAGTTAGCCTAGGGCTACGGCTTGTTACAATGTAGAGGAATTTTTTTTATCATTCTTCATCGTGCAATTTCATCAGGCGCGACGTCCCTATTGGTCGGTTGAATGCAAATTGTATCTAAAGCAACGAGAAGAAAACACTTACAGTTAATTCGAAACACATTCAGCATGAAGCGTATTCGACTTACGTCTCTTTCTGAAAGATTACTGTTGCACAGAAAAAAGTAAATCTCATCGTGGGAACCCGTTAAGTTAGACACTGAGAAGCGACCTGAAAACTTTTTTCCTATGCTACATCACAACACTAGCCCTTTCAATATTCCTAAGACTCCCACTAGCCTTTCAGGCATCGATCGCTCTCAATACCGGTGCAGTTCTACGACTCCGAAAATCCTATTGTGCCCTTTCCGCACCAGGATTCTCCCAGGATCAACCGATCGTTGCTTGACGACAGGATCGACGTTCTCGAGGTGGCTAACGTACCGCGATACTTCGCTAGCACATTCAGAAAATCCGGAACGGAATTTCGTTAGCACCGCCGGATCTGTAGCGACCGCTGCGCTCAAGTGCTGACGCTGTGACGCCTGTAAATGCTTCACCGTCATCTCGAGGATATCGGCCTTTTCAAGTTTCGAGTGCCGGGTCGGCTACAATAAAAAAGAAAAGAAATCGTTGATAAATCAAACATTTATTTTTAGACATACCTTTTTTTATTAATCTACTTTTTATGAATAAGTCTACGGAAGTAAATTTTTCTCATACGATGAGACAAGGGTGAACGATTTGTAGGGTAAAAAATACACATCGGGTAGATTCGGTAATATAGGGAGCAGATGAACTGCAGTGGATGGAGGTAACCCTATTTTATCGACTAACAGGAACGAACTGACATAATGGAAAGGTCACTTTCAATATGTGCAGGGTCCAATAATCAGGATCGCTGCTCGAGGGTGTGTTTCATTAGTGAAGTTCGTGAGTACCACCGATCGCTCATTCAAGAAATCTGACGTCTCGGTAACGCCCAAGTAATTGACTTGAGGCGACCTGTTACTTTAATAACAGGCTAGCAGCCTGTTCGGTAGCCAGTACTAGTACAGGGCAATTTTGTAGTTAGCCTAGGGCTACGGCTTGTTACAATGTAGAGGAATTTTTTTTATCATTCTTCATCGTGCAATTTCATCAGGCGCGACGTCCCTATTGGTCGGTTGAATGCAAATTGTATCTAAAGCAACGAGAAGAAAACACTTACAGTTAATTCGAAACACATTCAGCATGAAGCGTATTCGACTTACGTCTCTTTCTGAAAGATTACTGTTGCACAGAAAAAAGTAAATCTCATCGTGGGAACCCGTTAAGTTAGACACTGAGAAGCGACCTGAAAACTTTTTTCCTATGCTACATCACAACACTAGCCCTTTCAATATTCCTAAGACTCCCACTAGCCTTTCAGGCATCGATCGCTCTCAATACCGGTGCAGTTCTACGACTCCGAAAATCCTATTGTGCCCTTTCCGCACCAGGATTCTCCCAGGATCAACCGAGTGCTCGCATTTTTATGGTAAACCAGCGGTCACCTTTAAAATAGGCGTGGGAGTCGAAGAAGAGATCGGTTACACAGTCCATTGAAAACCTCTTCTCTGTCCCTATTTTCTACTCTCAACGAGCTCCCGGATTGAAAGGGAACAAGTTCACAAACAAAGTCTTCGAATACTTCACAAAACAATAAATTGCACCTGTTGCTTCCACTGCGATAATTGAAATGTAATTTTCACTCGTGAAAAGCGAACACATTTTGGTGAAGACCTATGGGAAAAGAATCGACACAGAAATCAATTTTCCCGTGGACGAATTTGAGACCCGACGGAGATCAGAGGGAAACAAGACACCTGCTAAAGCTGAGTAAGAACCAAGAGGCGTCGAGGATCTCTTTTTTTTCCTCTTTTTTCCTGATCCTCGCGAAGCTGGATCCTTAAAGATGATACGGTCAACAAAAGGGAGGTTGCAACCCGAGATGAAATTCTTTTTTCTTCGTAATAATTATTTCGGAGTTCCCACGAACGCGGGGGGCGTTTCGTTCGTACCCGGCGCGGCGAACGGGACGGACATTGGAACGGGCAGGTAGCGGAAGTCATCTGGATGAGGAGGAGAGAACGGTGAGAGCGACTCGCTCTCTGCTACTCGTGTGATGTGTGGAAGTAGTCTTGCCTGAGAAATCAATCTCGTTGGGTCGTGTTACGCGTCGAGGAGTGTATTAAGTAGTTACGTACTCTGTCCTCTTAATACACAGGAGAAATCAAAGCGATTGTGACTCTAATAAAATTCTGTTCCGTCAATTTTCTTATTGCTCGTGTAGTTACTATACGAACACTTAAACATGAATTTCGCATTTCAGTTTTAATTGCAACTAAATAAGCTCTCTTACTTTCTTGCTTCTCCACTATGCAACTTGCATCAATGCAACTAGTTTTCTGCACGAATTTACACGTTAAATTACTTCGCTATAAACAAAATTATACAAACTGCTAGCACGTCGATTGCACTAAATCTTGGATCTTCTGGTACTTTAGGGATTAGAATATCAGAAAAATTTCGAATTCAAGAGCTGTAAATGAAAGAACCACGAAATAGAGAGATGCTCAAGTGGAATGTGACCAATTCGATTTTTGGGTGCCGCACCGCGTGGAACGGAGTGAAGTGCCATTGTGAAGTCTCCAGTCTCCGGTGGAGATTACGTGTTGGCAGAGGACTTCAGCCATCCGTTCCCACGGCGGGGCATCTAAAACATTAAAACAAAACCCGTCCACCTCCTGTCATGCCTCTCTCTCGTCCCGGTTCTATGGGCGAAAAACAAATTGTGTCGCGCGGGAGGATTGCGTGAAGGATGGAGGGGGGAGACGGCCTGATCAAACACTTCTAACCAACATCCGCTGCTCGCCTCGGCTGTTCCTATCGTTTTAATGAAAAGATCAACTCTTGACCTTCATACCGGTATCGCCGAAACAATCCTTATTAACGTAATACAGACGATCTCCGCGCAAGTGTGCACCTCATTTGGTGATTACGATTTTTATCAACTTCTATATGATTCAAACATAATTTAATTAGGAAGATTAAATGACATAAATGTCAACGAATTTCTTTCTTTCTTATAAAAAATTAACAGTAATTAATGCAGAAACAGAAATCAGAATCGTCGAGAATCTTGGGAATACTTGTAAACAGTTCGTGATTTAGAAACAATTTTTCTACATAGTTTTTATTAGCGTGTTAGTGATTTGACAACAGTAAATATCAGCTCCTATAGGCCCGTACCGAAAACTGTATTTGAAGTGTACAGTCATTTAAATGCGAGCTACTTAACGTCCGTTTCATACCTAAACTCTTCTCTTCTATTAGAAATGTTGTCAGCTGTTGAAAAGCGACGACAACAAAAATGCTAGAGAAATCATTGTTCAAGATTGAATGCTTAAAAGAAGCTGCGCATATTTTCGTGATATCTCGCGTAAACACATATCACGTCGCTTAGATAAGTTCATGCACTGGTCACGTTCACCGCAACACATTTCAAGCGCCGGCTACAATGTGGATTCTACGTACCTGCACCGACCTGAAATCAGGCGTACGGGCGCACGTGTCCTATCGTGTCCTCATGTTATTTTATGCGAGCCACGAGTTATTAAACAGGAATACCCGCCCCTCATTATCAATTCATTTCATGATTATGAAATTAGATCACTTTAGTTACTTAGCACGACATAGTATAATTGACCCGCTCGATCGCATGAACTCATCTAGAGACGGTTTCATGAAGTCGACAAGTCGACAATTATGATATGATTAGAGTAAGTATGTGTTTACTCACGTCTTTGTTCATCGCATCGAGTATTAGAGTTTTCAAGTCATCCAGGCACTGATTTATCCGAGCACGCCTACGCTTCTCCATGATCGGCTTATTGCTCTGCAATTGTAGTATTGTTTCAATTATAGGAAACGATTAGCGATAATTGAGAGAATTTAGATAATTTTTCGTGACTATATCTTCTAGAAGAGTGTACTGAGAGTTTATGCAGATAGATACATTTTCATTTAATGAAAAGTGAAATACTTGAATAAATTACAGATTTATGTTCTGTGAGTATGAAATTTTTTATTAAATCTGAAACTATATTATTTACTATCTATTCTTTGAACAGGTTTTCGATATTTGTAAAAGCTAGAGAGTATTAAAACTCAATTAAATTACTCTTTATATACTATTCACTTAATTGTGACAAAAAGAGACTGCAGAGAACTATGTAATTATGCTCAATTTAGTGAAGGTATACGTCTAGACAATAGTACTCCCCTCAAATGAAAGGAACAAGAAATTCTCAATGACAACTCCGTAAAAATATCGCACATCCCATTTATTTATCCCCCACGAATCCGTGAAGGATAGAAAATGGTTCTTCGAACTCATTTTTACCCTGCGCAATTCCGCCTTGGTCATCCCCGGCTGCGTATGAGACTCAGGTTCGTCCTCGCTGCCTGACATCTTGTAATTATAATAGTCCACCATTTATGCGCGCCGGAACGAATATCACTATTATAAAACGCACAAAGACAACGTCCCTCGATCTCACTTGTTGATAATTCCAAGATCACGTGCACGGTAACTCAACTAAATTGCAGTAGTTCCTCCATGAATGAAACGATCCACATGATTCCTCGGTGACTCATCACGTACGTGTCCCGCTAATGAACTATGAAGGTCCGACGCGAGGTAGCCGTTTTAGAAATGAGGGATGGTCCCCGAAACCGGCGACATCACACTTTGGGGTGCTCAGGGTAACTGTTTGACGTTTTCGATTTCGAATACCGCATGCCGATGCACTCTCTGCGTCCCAGAGTGGGGCGAACCACGTTCCGGAGTGGGGTTCCCGGATGCCTTCAGAGAGGGGAGGTCCTTGGTCCTCCTGAGACCTGTTGATGTGTGGGAATTCACGCCGTTGTCCCACGGGACGCACCGATATTACTGCCCCGAAATTTGAGTCCCTCCGCTGCGCACCTCCTTTCATGATAGAATTAAAAATCGCAAAAAAATAATATTGCCTTACGGAAGCCACCAGAAATTAATTTATTGTTAATGTAAAGCATTTGCAGTTCCAAAATCTAAAAATATTTCCAATGCTCTACATATTAATATAACTTAATAAACTAATGTACTCAAGTTTATACTTTTATTCTCACATTTTCCAATGAAGAAATTAATTCAAAATAATTGAAAAACATAATTAATAGAAGCAAAGAATCCAAAATTTTTCTCAAAAGCATACTTAAATAAATACTTACTCATTTACTACATAAATACTTTCACATTTACTAATTTTCAGTATACTGGTACAATAATTGCGTTTTCTTATACGTTATTATCTGCGCACTGAGTGCGTTTGGTCCGCGCGGAGAACGCATTGCGTAAAAGAAAGAGTTCATTGATGAAACTGCGCAGCAGCAACGGGCAAAAGCGTTCACGTCCCGACGAGTGCATTACTTAAACACTGTTTAGTTTAACGTTTCAGAAGAATTCCCACACAGGGCCCTCACCGTTCGTCCCGTATACCGTGGCATCGCACCGTATCGCGTTGCGCGCGTCAGCCACACTTATGACGCACGTATACACACGTCCGGCACACGGTCCGCTCGCTCCTTCTCTCTTCGATGATCCCTCTCCCTCGTACTCCTCATATATTGTTCACATGCATGTGAGTCACATTGCGAGACTAAATCTATAAACGAAATATAAATAATACAAATGTCTTCTTATTTTATTGTTTAATTATACATATTATATATATTGTATCTTCTGAATCATAATTTTACACTGAATTACATATTCTCAAGAAAATTTTAAACTTGTACTGTGTACACATTTTTCTACTTGTACTGTGTACATATTTTTGTACTGTGTACATATTTTTCTACTGTGTACATATTTTTCTACTTGTACTGTATACATATTTTTGTACTGGGTACATATTTTTCTACAGGCATTCAGAGACAGTATCGCAGTATTTATTGCGTTTTGTGTTGAGCTATTTGTAACAAGGTCAGGTAAAAATTATTTAACAGAATTGTGTGCTTAACGCGCGGCACGCTTATGGCCTTGCTAATAAATGTGTAAAACTAAAAAAAAAAAAAAATGGAAACGGCTGATGGCGATGGAGCAGCGGACAGATTCAACAGTTTTTGTTTCGTTACAAAAATCAGTTACAGCCAGTTTCGAATGACAATGACCGCCGTAATAAACAGATAAACTTTACGGTCCACGATTATTGCACCGGAAAACTTTTACTTCTAGATGGCCTGGCACAATGCGACCGTTTCCCCGACGTACCGACTCTACACTGAAACAGTCCCTTTGACCCGTTGATTTATTTTCTTCCTTCATGTTTGAACAGTTTTTCACGTTTTTCCTATGATTGCGAAGAAATCTTCGCCGGACAGATAATAATGAATAAACTGCAAATGTTTATATCTTGCAATTTTTTTTAATAATTATGAAGGATACACAATATGCGTAATATAGAAAAATACTATGCACAATATTCACATTTTCTTTTTTTCATTTATTATTTCTCATCTCAATTTGTAATAAATGATTTTTTTCTCATCTCAATTTGTAATAAATGATTTTCATAAGAATTGAAATGTTTTGTTTCGATAGAAATATGATTTGAACGAACGTTAATAAGTCAGTGAGTGAGAAGTATGCTTACTATAATCTCAAAACATGAGTACGATAAGCAGGCTAATATTATAGGTAAATAATTTCTTCCCGCGCAGTATGTTGAATCGCAATGCGCGTATATACGGCGATAGTTTAGCGATAAGGCGGTTCTCGAAACCAGCTGCTATGCCACAGCATCAGAGTCACTATGAACTTCCGTGTTAATATTAAATGTACTCTGCCTCGGCATTATGTTCGTGCTCGCGAGTCCAGATGCCCGGCTGCGAAAACTCTTGCACGTGAAAAAATCGAAAACGAATCAAGATCCAACTCCGGCGATTATAATTAACAAGAGGCATCGGTCTCTCGTAAATAAACGAGGGCGGTGTTCGTGAAAACGCTTTTCATTAGATTAATTTACAGATCTCTGATAAACGGTTTCAAAGGGGAGTGCGTATAACTTTGATATTTTGCACATGTGCTAAATAAGTACATAGCCTATTGTCATCAAGATTGCTTGATTGAATATTATTAAACTGGTTTCGCCTTAATATTGAATATTTTTCCCATTTGATTATATGAGCACTTGAAATCTTATTATCCCATTTCACTTTTCTTGATCATTAATATATTTACTATTTCATCTACTACTCCAAGTGGAAATTAATACAATAATTATGCATAATGCAGTTATGGTAGAATTGCACATGGAATGAAATTGATTTAGCACTCATACAAACATTATTTGAAAAACTCTCATTTTTAAGTGAACTATGAAATCTTACTGCAGAATTGACAATCTTCCTTCGTTGATCGTAAGCCTCAGGTATTCATATTGTTTAATCTGTTGCCGAGTCCGTTACATTCCAGAAAGAGGCAGATTAAAAGTAGGTGCTTTATGGTTTTATTACGGTTACCTACCATTAGTAAGGGCATAATGTGCTATGCTAAACTGCAGCTTTGTCCCTGGCACTGGTGTATTATTGCGTAGCCATGGAGGACCCCCTGAATTACAAGAGGGCAAAGAGCTTCGGGGTTCATTCTCGCTCGTTGCTCTTGGTGCTCCTGCCATAGCATCTGCAAACTTAGAAATCTCAATGAAGGTAAACTGGCTTTCATACAATTAACCTGGCCTGGAATTTTGTTTCTAGAATTTACCGTTCGCCTGACCGGGATCAACAACCAACATTCTGCGATTAATTATAACTATGGTCGATTATTAAATAATTATTAAGTACAATAGCTGAGAAAATAAATAATCTTGTGTAAAAACAAGTACTTGAAGGCATTATTCTCATCGAAATACTATCATCGCTCCGTTCCCGGTTTCACAACTTTCCACAAAAATGCCAAGTTAGCTGTCATAACGAAGGATCTATGGTCAGATGTCACGATTTTCTCATTAGTCCAGCCCCAGGGCTAAGAAGCGTAGGAGGGAAACAGCCAAGGAGAGCCCTGAGGTGTTTGCTTGACCGCGGACCTCTTGGGGAAGTTCGAAAGGACGATTACGGTCTAAATTTGGAACGCCCACCCTCTACTGAGAGGATCTCACGATACACCTGCAGCCATGAGATCCAACAGGAAGGAAACGCCATACCCCAATCTTAAAATCTACGCTTCCGCTAACCGGGGAGTCTGTCATTTCCTATTTTAGGGAGCCAACTAATTAATTTTTTTTAGCTTACATGGTTTTAATAAGAAGAATCAGATCATGGCTGTAATCAATATACAATTTAATTGTAAATCGTAGTACCTGATTTTTATTAGAAATAATGGTATTATGTTATACATGAAAAATACCGTAAAATGTACACACGCCGGGTGTGATCTGACCAAAAAAGTTGATGCGTGGGGTCTTTTTTTTACTTGGCATCTGGATGTCGCGGGGAAACGCCTAGTTCGTGAATACAGGAAAATATAACTCGTTTCCGTGGGAGTTGAACGAAAAAATATTCCTTTCGCGCGGCAGACGGTGTCATTTATATATACAGGGTGTCCCAGAACTAATACTACGTCTGAAAATGAGGAGGAGCTGAGGTGATTTTAAACAACTTCTTCCTTTGCGGAAAAGTTATCTGAGGCGTGGTTATTGAGTTATTAACAAAAATCCCCGCCCAATCAGAGAGTATACACCGTAGTACCGTTATAACCGTTAAGTATTTATTTCTACAAATGGGGTACGTTTCCCATGAATTTTCTTGTAGTACAAAATCCTACACAGATTTTCGGATTATAAAATGTATTGGGGTATTAGGGTATTAGGGGTATTAGGACAATAAAATGTACATAGTATTAAGGTAATGAAGAATATACAGTAGTAACTAGGGTACGTAGTAAGTACGTAGGGTAGTAAGGTACTACTGTCTGATGTAGTAAATAGTCCATCGAGCAATAACCCAAAATCCCAGTCGTAAACTGAGTGTACCCTATTCACCCAATTTGGGTCAGCGTGCCGCACCACTGGGAATCAGGTCGTGTGCTGGACGCATGCAGACAAAATGATTACTATAGCGAACTCAGTCAGGTAAAACCCAATGACACACTTACAAAGCGGTTTGAACCTTAACAAAGAAATAACATAAATTATTTAATGACGGTACGTAGCTAGATTAAAAATATATTTATATAGATACATTCTTTTATAGTAAAAAAGTCGAAAGAAAGGCAATCTACTCTTTTGGACAAAAATTTATTCTATTATTTTAGTTAACAGTCTATCATACATAAATATGAAAATTATATATTAGCATTATCCTCGATTTTACAGGAAATAATATTTTGATATTCCACATACTATTATAAACTGTCATTACACATATTATTATTGAATCCTCATCCCTCAATACGCTGTGCTATGCTGAAGCATCTATCGATTTTGTCAAAGCACCGGAGACAGCGTGTTGCTCCGCAACGTTCCTGACAATCGGCCGAAGAAAAAGTCGCGCAACCCTAACGGGGCCACGGGTCCACCTCTTTAGACTTGTGCAGTTGCGTTGCGTACCCTTTACGAGTACGCGGTATGCGTAGCCACCCCATTCTTACGGTGTCTCCCCCCTTTTCCGGTGAATGCTCAGCTCCGGTTAGCTTTCGTTAGCTCGCAGAAGTTCGTGCCTTGGCTGCCTGGACGGTGGCGCAAGGGATCACCTGGCTCGAGTTCCCACGTTTCTGCGATTCGCGTTTCACTTCACCCCTTTTCGCCTTATACTGCGTCGTCGTGTCCTGGTCCTGCTCTTGGTCTTCCCGATCCTCGTCGATGAACGATTTCAGAGGGCCGTGTAATGCCGCACACGTTGGAAAAAGGGCTCCCGGTCCGCTGGTGGGGAGGAAGAAAAAAAAGAGAGAATAGCGAAGCATGGCGGAAGAGGGTACGAAAAGAGTGGAAAGGAAAGGAAAGAAAAGAGAACGAGCCGTGTGCCTCGTGCATCCATTATGGGGCCCTGACCGCTGCTGCGAAGGTGCGCGTGGCTGACACACGAGAGACCTGCGATAGGGAGCTAGAGCGTTCCACGTTTTATTGGCGAGGGAAAAAGAAAACGGTGCTAAGCCGGGGGTCCGTCCCGTAAAACGGTCAGGTACGTATTTGCATAGAAAGGCTGAAATTTCGTCGTCCTCTGTCCTCGCACTACGGACGCGATGCAGCGTTAACTGTTTCCCTACCCTTGCCTTCTGAAGGATCGTGGGAGGTTGTTTGGGCCCTTGTGGGAATCCTTTACTCACGGATTTGCTGCTTGGCTACCTGCCCAGCCGACTAGCGATTATACTTAATTTTATTGTTTTATGGTTTTCTCCTTGTTGGCTACAATATAGAAACCTCCTAACGAGCAAGTATCGTATTTTTTATATTCTGAGGACTTATTTACTTGTAATATAGACTTGTAAGAAACTAAGAGACAAAGAAGTTTAGCTTGTCTAAGAAAGA